GGAAGTGCATCAAAGGTTCTTCCCTAGCAATGTTCATGGCTAGTTGCAGTTGTGAGCGCAGTGCAGCTGTTGTGTTCTCCTCTCTGAGCACAGAGTGTCACTCTCCAGCCCTGGGTCTCTAACCCAGTCTCCTTTGCCTCTCCAGAAGCGCTGGGTTGCTGTCCTGTCCCAGGAGTATCCAACACTGGCTTTCCATGCCAGCCTCACAAACCCATTTGGCAAAGGTGCTTTCATACAGCTCCTAAGGCAGTTTGGAAAGGTACAAAACAATTTTGGGAATCTGTGGTTGGTTTGGGGGGGTTACTGTGTGTGGTCTTTTGCTCTATTAGCATTTAGGGTTCAGGACTGCAGTGGTAATTCTTTCTCTCACTCCAAGATGTAAAAGGATGTGTTATTTCTCACCAGTTACACTCTGACAAGAAGCAGATCAGTGTGGGGTTCATTGGTTACCCCAACGTTGGCAAGAGCTCAGTGATCAATACCCTACGGTCCAAGAAGGTCTGCAGCGTGGCCCCCATTGCAGGGGAAACAAAGGTAGGAACATCCCTGTGTTGAAGATACAAATGAATTCATGTGAAATCAGCCTGAAGACCTTGTCAAGTTCTGACCTGCACAGGTTGTGTGACACTCAGGAGGGGCTCATGGCCAGTCCCTGCTCTGAGGCACTGCTCTGGCAGCATTCCCAAATTCTCACTCTGCCATACTGCAGGGCTGTGATGGGAATGCTGAGCTGTCCTCACTCCCTGTCTGTGCTCTCCTCATCCAAATGCTCTGTCAGGCTCTGTTTCTCTGACTCTGGTCTTCAAAAATTAAGCAAGGACTGTGTGGAAGGTGCTGATGGGGAAGTGCTGATGTCTTCCAGGTGTGGCAGTACATCACCTTGATGCGGCGGATTTTTCTCATCGACTGCCCCGGGGTGGTTTATCCATCAGGAGACTCAGAGACAGACATTGTGCTGAAGGGAGTGGTATGTGTCTGCACTGGATGCTGGAAAGCTTTACTTCTTGTCACTGTGATGGTCTAAGAGGGTTGATCCTCTTCTGTGATCTTCTACTGATCCTCTGCTGTGCTTTTTCAGGTTCAAGTTGAAAAGATTAAGAGCCCCCAAGACCATATCGGTGCTGTGCTAGAAAGAGCCAAAGCAGAGTACATCAGGAAGACATACAAAATTGATTCCTGGACAGATGCAGAAGACTTCCTTGAGAAACTTGCTGCTAGGACTGGAAAACTGCTAAAGGTGCAACAGCCTCCTGCATTTGCAGGCTGGAAGAGTGTGTGGCCTGTTGTGAACATGGGAAATGGCCATGTTTCTGTTGCTCATGGGGCATAGGAGGGCTATGTGCCTGCAAACTGGGACATAAACTGTTCCTGTTTTTTCTCAGGGTGGTGAGCCTGACTTGCAGACTGTGAGCAAGATGGTTCTCAATGACTGGCAGAGGGGCAGAATCCCTTTCTTTGTGAAGCCACCGAATGCAGAACCAGGTCAGCCTGGTCCCCAGGTAAGAATGTGATGCTTTTGCCTTCCTCTTCCCACATACTTGATTTTCCTAATGGTATTGACTGCTGCTTTTCACAGAGTGCCATGAGACTTGGGTAGTCTGTATCCTGGGCTCTGCCCAAGCATGGTCCTTCAGATGACACCTGAATTTGGTGAGGACCAGGTAGCAGTGCTCTTTACAGAGATGCCTGAGTCATTACTGACTACCAGAAATGTCAGTAATATGTTGTCATCTTAGGCTTTTTCTCACAAGAGAAGATGGAAGTTGTTCCTGGAGATGGTGGGACAGACTTTGGGGATAATATATCCTGCTCTTCCTTGCAGCCTCCTGTGTTGGAAGAGTCTGTGACATCCAGCCAAAATAATGCTGAGGAGAAAGTCTCTGAGTTGGTGGCATCAGATGTGGAGCCAGCAGAAGAGGGGAACAACACAAACACCGAAATGAGGCAGCTCATGTCCCACGTTCGGCAGAACTTCGGCAGGATTAATGTGGCACCTCAGTTCTCAGAAGAAGACCTGGTTCCTGTGGATGTGCCAGGCTTTGATGACACAGACAATGATTCCTCTGGAGAGGAGGAGCAGGAGGAGGAGGAGAAAGAAGAGAATGAGCAACATCAGGATCCAGGAGAGGAGGAATTGCAGGTGGCTGCACCAGGTGCCCAGGAGAGCTCTAAAGCAGTTCTTAAGGCTTTGGAAGACAAGATTGCAAAATACAAAAAATTTTTGGATAAAGCCAAGGCCAAGAGATTCTCAGCAATAAGGTGCCTGAATCTGTCCAATGAATTGCAGGGGGGAAAAGGGTTGATGAGTTTCTGCTGTAGTTTGACTCCATTTCTGACTTGATTGACAAGTTCCCCCATGCTCCCACACACAAGTTGCCACATCTTATCTGGCTTAGCTATAAGGGTTGGAAATTGGGCCAAGTTTTTGAAAGATTGTTCCAAGAACTGCTATTTACCAGAAAATTAAAAATATTCTCACTTTTGGAAAGCTGCCTCTTAAACTATGGATTAGAGTTACCATTATCTTGGTTTTCTGGGCAGCAATTCTGCATCCTTGGATCTCTCCTTGATGTTGGGTAATACCAAGGCTGGATATGCCTGGGTCTTTGTGCATGTGCAGTGAATCCTGGCCCACACAGCAGGCTCAACTTTAGCAAAGCTCACCCACCAGCCTTGGGAGGACTGATATTTCAAAGTTTAAGTGCTACATTTTCTCTCTCATATAGCACACAAGCACAGTAACTCCAGCATCAAGGGTATTGTAATATTCTGGTGCAAAGACTGGCTTTGATGCTGACAGGGGACTGGGATCTGCTGGAGTCTGATGGCTTCTCAGAGGTGGTCACTGTTTGTGTAACAACAATCTTTTATTGCTGGTTTTATCTTCCGTAGAATCCCCAAGGGACTGAGTGACAAAGTGTTTGCAAAATCCATGCAGAAGGCTGAAGAACCCAAAGAAACTGAAGACAGAGGTAAAACAAGATTAGTAGATGTTCTTAATCTACATTTGGAAATCCTATGAGGCAGAAAAAAAAATGTCATTAAGGGGATAAGCATCCAATGGATCCAGAGTGCAAGTTCTTTTCTCCTAAAACTACATAAATCTCCCTTTAGCTGACCCAAAGGCTGCTGCTAACCTCGTGTAGCCTTCCTATAGAGCAGCTGTCTGTGTGATGGGAGATGTCCCTCTTAAGTGTGAGGGAAGATACAGTGAAGGCAAGTTCCAACAGCCTGGGCTCTGGGCAGGCTGCAGCCAGAGCAACTCCCCTTCCCTAGGCTGTTATAAGAAGGAGTGGATGGTGTTTGGGATGTTACAAAAGCAAAAAAACTTCAGGCTCTTGGTTTTTACTGTGGCTTCAGTTGTTGTAGTCAGTTTGAGTAAAGGCACAATCGGGCAGAAGAGCCCTGTCCTGACAGGACTGGAATTCTCCTGGACTTGAATGGGGCTGAAGCAACCTGCTTCTTGAGAGCAGTTCTCACAGTAATAGCTGTGATTCTCTTGTGAGGAACATTCATATTGTTTTGGTAGAAGCTCTTAAATACAGCCAAGGGAAAGAATTGCTCAAGGAGTTGAGATGGTAACCTCAGCCTGAAGTTCTTCAAACAAATGAGAGTTCTGGAAGATACCAAGTGCATTATCTCTGCTGTTTGCAGGCAGCACAGAGAAGAAAAGGAAGAGGAAAGAAGAGGAAGGTGATGATGATGATGATGACCAGTTGGGTAAACAGCCTTGTAAGAAACTCACATCCAAAGAAGTAAGTGTGCTTTCCTATAGTACAACTGAACAGGGAAATAAGCTGGCTTTTCTAGCCTTGGTGACATCACTAAAGAGCCTTTTGTCACTAAAGAGCTTTGAGACTTTGGGCATGAACAGAAAGGGAATGAAAACTGAATTGTGTTATGAATGCTCTGTGACAACTTCTGTCACCCCCCCTTACCTGACAATGCACACCAGATTGCACCTTGAATCTTTCTGCAAAGACTGAAGTGGAGCTTATTCTCCTAAGAGCAGAGGGGTGGGCTCTGTATAGAGTCTGTATAGAGTACATTTTATTGGAAATTATTTATTTTACTTAACGCATGTGGAATGCAGAGTGAACACCATTGGAGATTGCAGACACTGAGGCTCTGGATGCTGGGGGTTTGCTAATGTGTTTTGTGTTTGCAGAGGAGACGAGCCGAGAGGCAGCAGCGCTCCAAGAAAGTCGGAGTCCGGTATTATGAAACTCACAACGTGAAAAATAAGAATAAGAACAAGAAAAAAACTGGCTTGGAGGGACAAAGATCAAAGCACAAAAAATACAAACATAAGCAATAGCTGCTTATTCTATTAAATTTTACATAAAACAGCTCTAGTATGTGGCGGCTTTTTTTACTATAAAACTTGCGGTTCCTGTTCAAAGCCCAGTGTGACCGGTCTGTCCTGGCCCCAGGAGCAGCATCTCTTCCTTTGTTTCTGCATCATCTGAAAGTTCTTTGTGCAGTTGGAGCTGATGGTATTTCCACATCGCTGTCCCAGGCCAGCAAACACTGCAGTAGCCAAACAGCTATTCCAGTGTTGTTCAGTGCTGGGGTTTGGGTGGGTTTTTTCTGAAAACTGGCTTTATGGGGTTTTTCACATGACTACAGGGAATTCTTTCCCATGTTCACTTGCTGTGTAACCAGCTGCTCACAGGGGTACCTCAAGCAGGGATTTCGTTTGCTTCCATTGAGAAGTGAGTCTATGATTGCCATTGTGCCCCTTCATTTCACTAGAAACAATCACACCCAGAGCTTTGGTGTCGCCTGTGCTCAGTTACTGCTGATGGTTCTGACAAGGGATTTTTATGTACAGTTGACACCAGCTTGCAGCTACTCAAGGAAATACCCCCGAGACACCTGTCCAAGAGTGAGCTGCCATTTATTTCTTGATGCATGTGACTTACTTTTCTTGTAGGCACTTTTATATTGCTTCTGAATCTTCTGCGACATTTTCAAATTAATAATGCCAGAGAGATTTCTGCATTTAAAAATGTTTATTAGTTATTGCTTTGAAGGTCATTAGCACATTACCAACAGACAAGTCCCAGACAAGTTCACTGTTCAAAGAGCTCACTGCTGAGATGGCTTTGAAGGAGGGAGCAGTAATTAATGAAGCTCTTGAATTTCAACTCTTCAAGAGGGAAAGAAAGAACACAGTTACACTGCCTGCTGTTACTGGTAAGTGAAAACTCAAGATTGTTTTAGGAAGACAAATCTTTGTCACTAATTGCAAGCTTCTTGCTCTGACAGCTCTTCTGAGCCTGCCTTGAGGACAACAAAACAATTAATTCTTTGCTGCAATGATGCATTCAAGTTGGGCCTGAAAAACAAATGAGACAGTGAGACAAATTAGATTCCCTAACCTAAAAAAATAAACCTTCAGTGCTGTGAAGAGCTAAATTTTCTGTTGGACGTTCACAGCAAAGAGCTGAGGGACACTGTGCTGCTGCCAGGAGACCCAGGCCAGGTTTGTTCCCCAGCAATTCCATTTCTACATGTTTTATAAATTAGTTTGTCATTCCTGGCATACACACTTGTTGCATTCTGAGGAGAACAGAGCTGGCCTTGGCTCTGTATGATGAGAGACTTGGTTTAGAATCTGAAGCATCGAGGGGGAAATTAAATAAAAGCTATTGAAACAGTGGTCTGAATTCTCTAATTTCAGGCTGGACTGTGTGAGCTAAATTAAATATTTGGCTCTCTAGCATTTGGAACATGAACTGACTCTGGGACAAGAGTACCTGGGAACAGCAAGTTTTGTGATTACTGAGAAAATTTGATGCCAGTTAGTGGAGGGAAGGGAGCAGCTACCACAATAACCCACACCAGTGGCACACACAGCTGGTCAAGTATAGGTACTTCAAAGACTCAGGGGCAACACACATCTGATTTAAGATTTTGTGTCCTAAAACATTCCAGGGCAGCCTGAAAATGTGAGTTAGGAAGTAGGATCTGCAGGAAAAGCGGTTTCCTCTAAGAGAAATGTTTTTAGCTGTAGCCAGAAATATTTGACGTTGTTCAGGGTGACATTCTTTCCTTACTCAAAAGATCTGGGATTTTTTTCCTTTTAAAAACAAAGTACAGAGCAGAAGTTCTGTTCTCCCCAAAGCCACATGCACAAATAATTATCCAGTCCTTGCACAGTTGTTCTTGGGTAATATTTAATGTTAAATGGTGTGTTGTGTTACTAGGGCTTTAATGGTTTTAATGAGAATTTTACCACTAGTATTTCCAGTTCTGGATTTTTACTGACCTTCAGCTGCTGGTTTGTCCGTTTGAGGAACAGAACCTCTTCACTGTGTTTCTTCTCTTCAATTTCTCGCCGTTCTGTTTCTTGCCTTTCAATAGCCTCACATTTCGCTTTCTCTTCGCTCACTTGTTTTTCCAGTTCCTTCTTTTCCTCTTCCAGCTCTGCAATCTTGGAAAAGAGTACGGATGTCTCAAGTTTTGTTGGCAAATAGTCAATTTTCAGTTAAGATGGGACTGATGCCTTGAGAGGCTACCTAGAACAGAGGCTAGACAGAGTTAAAGGAATAGAGTAGGTATTTATTTAAAAGACCTTCAAAGGATGCACCTTGGGCGGTACAAGAGCCTGGCGAGGCTACACCCAAGATGCACCACAGGTCACGAGTTTTTACACTTTTATAAGTTTTGGTGCATTTACATATTGGGGTTAATTATCCAATTAACAGCTTCAAGTTATGAAGTCCCATCCTCCCAGACTGCTCTCCTCAATTTGCTGTT